CTTGTTGTCATCCCAGTGTCCAGTAATGGGAGCGTTCCCAGCTCCTGGCCTTTAGGGCCAGTAAGGAGGGCTCAGGTCAGTGCCAGGACCAGAGGAGCGGCTGCACTGGATCCGACTGCAGGTCTCTCTCCTTCGGGATCCTGAATTAGCAGTGGTTAATAGAGGATGCCTAGTGAGGAGCATAAGAATGGGGGGATGCAGGTCAGTGCATTCCTGAAAACCCTCCTCATCATCAGCCATCTGTAGTTTAGGAATTTCCTGAGGTGGGAATATCTGCATTTAATAGTTCTTTATGGGTTTTTCCTAAAACCTTCTTTGAGCCTGAGAAAATTTTGGGCATCCACAGCATCTTATGGCAGTGACTTCCACTGTTCAGCTGTGTGTTGTGTGAAGAAATATTTACGTTGTTCTGAATCTGTCACTTATTGTTTTCATTTCATGCTTTGTAGCTTACATACTGACAGAAGCAGGAGGCAGTCATTCCTTATTCATTTTCTCTAAGCCATTCTCGAATGACAAACCTCTGTTCTGTCCCCTCTCAGGTTTCTGTTTCCCAGGCTGAAGAGTCTTGGTCTTATACAGAGGTCATTTCAGACCTTTGACCACCCTTAGCTAGCTCCCTGCCCCTCTTCCCGTAGCCTCTAGTGAACTGCCACAACACCTGGGGGGATGCAGATGCACCCTGGAGCTACCCGCAGTGACGTTTGTGGGTTTGCTCTGTTTGTCCCCTGGTGCTCACTTTTCTCGTTTAACTGCTTTTGAGCCTTGGGCTGATGCTTTCATTGGACGCTCCTGGCTTGCCCTTGCCGCCGCACAGCGTACTTACCCCTCTGTGGCTCGGTTTGCCGATCAGGAGGCTGGCGAGGGGATAGTAATTGCTCACTGTTTACGATGGCTCACCCCTTATGAACTCACATGACACCCCGCTCAGAGGCTGCCAAGGCCTTTCGTTTTTGTATCGTCTCATGCCCATAGGGTCTGTGGCGTGTGCGGTGTTAGGCTGGGCGAGGCTCTTGTGCTGTGGCTGGGAAGGTTGTGGCTTTCCCCCGGCACAGCTGGAGGGTTGCCTTCAGTTTGCACTGTGCGACCTGCCTCTGCCCTGCGCGGGCAGTGCTCAGCGCCATAGCACGCCCTGCAAGGACGCAGAGCTGCACCGCTGCAACTGCAGCTCGTGCCACGGCCTTCTTCCACGAAATACCCACGGTGCCACGGTGTGACTGCAATTCTGATCGCCCCTGCCCGGGAGGGACCAGGCGCACACGTGCACGCACGCACCCGCACGCTCACTGTGGCTCTTCTGATTCGGGTGCTGGTCAACCTGGACTCGAAAGGCAATCCGGATTATGTTTGCCTTGTGTATGGTGAAGGTTACATTTTTGACTGTTGTTGCTGGGCTGGAAATGTAATTGATTAATTTAGGGCTTAAGAAGGGAAGGAGGATTAAGGCGGTGGTGAGGCTGTGCTGCCAGACACTGCATTGACTGCCTCACGCTTTCACAGCTTCAGCTTTTGTTTGCCTGCAAACCAGCTTGTCTGAGCTCCCAAGTTGTTATTTCTTGTGACTCTGAGCTTGCTGGCAGATCCCTCAAAGCCAAGCCTCCTGCAGGGAAGGGAGCTGTACCCCTGGAAAGATACTTGCAAAGAGCTAGTCCAAGCTCCAGGTTTAATTCCATTATATCTGGGGGCAAATGCACTTGCTATTTGGCTATGATCTGTCCGACGGCAAATGTATGTGGGGAGCTTCATAGCCCAAATACGTGTAAACTCTCGACTGAACAAAGCAGCACAGACCTTGAGAAGGTCCACCTGTCCATGACAGCCCAGTTTCAGGGAAGAAATCCCCGTAATGGTTGCACAGAGTGCATGGAGGTAGGGACATCAAAGATGAACGCAGCATCAGTTGGACTGTGGTCTCAGGGAGTTCCTGCAGCATCAGTGCTGCAAGTAGCAACTGCGTGCAGACAGGCACTGCTGAGACTCTGCACTTGGTGGAGAAACAGTAGCAATAGCCCCTGCAATATTAATTAGGTCTTAAGTCTTTTGCTTCTCACAGCTGAGGCTCTCTTTGCAGCCTGTGAGGTCCCTTGGTGGTGTTCTGGGTCTGCAGCACGCATCTGTGCAGCGATGGGTTTTAGAAACGACAGAGTTCTGCTAAGTAATTGTGGACACTAGTCTGCTCATTACTGCACAAATTAGTAGAGTTCTAGCAGGACCCATAAAAGAAGATCTGTTGGCCTGTTATTGCCTGCATAGAAAATCTTAACACCTTGTGATCCTGTGGTCAGTTAAATTGGACAACATTGCTGCAAGCACAGGGAAAGTCACCAGTCCTCTCCAGTGACACATGGCATTACCTTGACTTCTTAGCACAGGAGAATACTGTTTCCCCTACTTTCCTGATGAATTAATTAGGTATCTGAGGCCCATGGAGGATTTCTGTCACCTCCATTCTGGGAGCATGCTGCACCCATTTCGTTTGGATGAATTTGACCTCGGTTGGATTAAGCCGGACTGTGAAGCTGGATACTGTGAGGTCTGGACACAGGTGAGGTGGTGAATCGGCCCAGTGCTGTAGTGCCTGGCAGAACGGCAGAGCAAGCAGCTCAGAGCACCTCCAGAAGCACCCATCACAGCTCTGGAAGCCTTGGGGCCAGCCGGGCTCTGCACAAAGGCCTGTCCCGTCCCGGCCTGTCCTGTCCCACTCGGGAAGCACAGCACACACCTCCAGCATGGGGTCTCTCTCCCAGCCCTGTGTGGGCTTTCAGTGGGAGGAACTGGG